AGTCCAAAACCTCTGAGGTGACCCTTTTCAGAGCAGTTAGCAGTGGCGGCCAGACCTGATCTAGTTCTTCTGGTCTCAGGGTAGTGGGGTCTGATGTTTACATTCTTCATTAGTCCATTGGACTAAATGTTTCAATATGCTGATATATATTTAACTTTTCCTTTTCTTCTCTCCCTTGATAGGGAGAGGCCAATAGTAACACCTTAAATGGCTGCTCAGGGGCTTTTAAGGCACCAGTCACTTTTCACCAGAGTAGGATGTAGAACATTGTCTTTGTGAGTTGTGTTTTGTGGAATCTTGACTCATGTAGCTGTAGGGGCTGATAAACTCAAGATCAACAGGTCAAACAGCATGCTTCTGGTTGCAGAGGTGAATGAATCCAAGATTGGCAGGCATTATGGCAGCATGGTGGCTGAATATCAAAGAACCAGAGATCAAAAGATGAGCCAGATGCACAATCCAGACCCAGTAAAAAGCAAACAAATTTCTCCAGTGTCCACTTATATTGGAAGCAGGTCACACCCCTGAGGAAATCTCCTTTGCTGTTCATAGACGATCTCACCATGGAAGAAGTGATTATATGTTCGTTTTCATCACCGGGGTGGGGGTGCGGGGTCTGGGGAACAGGGGATTACTAAATCCTAACTGCCAAACCATTGAGAATCCTGGCCCAGCCAAGTTGACCCCATAACTATAACAATTTGTTGTAATTAATGAAACAATGTTGATACATGAGCACTAATGTGGCATGGTTTAGTTAGATTTCCTTAGTTTTCACCTAATGTTCTTTTTCTGCTCCATGATCCCATCTAGGACCCCACCTTACATTTAATTGTTGATATCTCTTTAGTGTTATCCCAAAAGAAGTCACTACATGAAGCCCACACATGCATGTGGACAGTTATGTATTGTGCCTGTTCCTTCCTTTTTGTCAAACTTCTATCACTTTAGACTTCTAATATTTTACAGCAGTTAAAAAACATAAATCATGAGGAGCCCACATAAAGCCCCTCTCCTATACCCAATAGGCCATCAACTCTTGCTGATTCTACTTCAAAATATATCCAGAATCTAACATCTCTCACGATTGCTACCATTTTGGCCCAAGTAACCATCACTTTCTGCTCTATTGTAGCAGCCTTTTAATTATTGTTGCTTTTTGCCTTTGGTCCTTACAGTTTCCTTTCAACATAGGAATCATAGTGATCCCTTTAACGCTTAAAAGTGAAATGATGTCAGACCTCTAGTTAGAAACTTCCAATGTAACTAATTAACTCAGAGTGCAGTCAAGTCAGCTCAAAATGTACTATCTTGCCTTCTTCCTTGAAGAGCTTTTATGCTTACTGTGCCCATGGCGGTCATGGAACTGTCTTCTAGATAACCTTCCAGGAAGAACTTGCCATTCAGCTGTAAGGAATGTGGTTCGTGGACAACTTCCTCCTGGGACCTTTAGAAGAAAAGTTGTGTTATGTCAACTATTCCATAAAGAACTACAGAAATACATTGCTTTATTCTCCCCATGCCATTACTTACCTAGCAAAAATTTCTCACACTTTATTAAATGTAGATGCTATCATTGTCACTTTTTTTTTTTTAGGTATTTTGACACAGTGGTTGCAACAATGGGCTCAAACATAAGAACAATTGCACAATTGCGGGGATGGCACGGGACCAGGCAGTGCTTCACTCTGTACAGAGGGCTGTGAGTTGGAACCGACTCGATGGCACTTAACATTTTTTTTAATTCTCTCAACTGGATTGAATCTTGCATCATCTAGTTCTTTGTGAGACCTCTTCTGTTAACAAATATTAACTGAGGGCTTACAAAGTGCAAGGCTTTTTTCAGAGGGTAGAGAGTCAACAAAAGATGCACAGACTTTGTGCTCATGAGCTCAGAGATAGCACTGTGACAAAAATGTTCTTTGTCCTTTCCAAACCTCTAGCTCATCGATAGAAAAGGAAAGTGATGTCTACGGTTTCTTATTAAACCAGCCGCACTCTTCCTTCACAATCCCATGTTCCATGAGGTTTTCTTATGCTCCATAGGTGTTGCTGGGGCTTTGCTTTCACAGAGCCACTAGCTGGGTGGATTTGAATGTGCCCAAATTCAGGCTAGCAGTTGCACACAGCAAATAAATGACAACTACTATTTCTTCAGGGTATATTTGGTCCAGGAGATGAGATGGTGGCATGTCTGATGCCTCTCCCACAATTTCCACTTACTTTTTCCTATTCAAGGAGACCTGGTAGCTTAGTGGGTTAGGTTTCGTCTGCTAACTGCAAGGTCAGTAGACAATCTGAGGAAGAAAGATGAGGCTGTCTACTCCCGTAAAGATTTATAGTTCTGGAAGCCCTGTTCTCTAGGCTTGCTATCAGTCGGAATCAACTAGGTGGCAATGTGTTTGAGTGTATTCAAGCTTTCACACTCACTGGACATAATTTTCAAAAGGTGTGCCCTAGATACAAGAATTTTTCCAGGACACAGTATATCACTCTGGGATGTCTAGTTTGGTACATTTCTCATAATAGTACTTTCATTTGCTCAAAAGGGCAGATATTAGCTCGCATTTTAAGTCAATCAGCCAACTAACAAAAGTGAAATCTGGTGTGAACGGCGTTAACTTGTCTAGTCTGGTAGAATAAAATAATGACGGCGAAAGCCAAACCGACGTTAGGTGCAGAGATAAGTATAAAGGTTTATACACTTAAGTCACTTTTTTTATGCTTACCAGGAACTATACCGTAACTTGCCATTATATTACTGAGAAGAGGAAATGTTTCTTGAGAAAAGCCTCTGGAAGAAACCTACTTCCCTTCTTCCTTGCCCTTTCCAGGAGGGTTTGGGGACTTTCTAATGCGTCCTCCTCCAACGGTCACTAACACCAGCAAAACGACTTCCGGGCTCCTCTACAGCGCCGGTCTCAAAGTCCGCCAGCGGGGCTTCTCACTGCGCATGCGCAAGGCTCCGCCCCACCCCGGAACTCAAGACCGTTGCCGAAAAAGCTGCATTTAAATCCTCCGGATCCTACTCCCGGCGCGCCCGTAGCGCACTGTTCTCTTTCTAGGTTTAGGATTGGCCGAGCGTGGGACCGGTTCGGCCATTGATTGGCTGGTGGGTTGGCCAGTTGCGGAAACCACGCTTGACGTCAGTAGCCCCGCCTCCGCTCCGGATGGGCTGGATTTCTGGCCACTCAGCTAACGCGGCGCGGTCTTCGGTTTGGCGAGCTTGTTTGCCGCTCCGGTTCCCGCGACCCCAACGTCCTGGAGGCGGGGCTGGCGTCGGCCCGGGTTCTGGCCTCACAAACACACCCCAGCATCGCCAGAGGTTGAGGTGAGTGGGCTTTTTCCAAACTCTGGTTCTTCCCGAGGGGCGGCAGCTAGGAATGGGTGAGGCTTTCTCCCGGGATCTCGGCGGGGGTGGGGAAGGACACTGGGTAGCACTTAGTGGGGGCCGCTAACCACACGAGGCCCTAGTGGGGGAAGCTAAGTGGGTCACCCATTAAACTCATCGGAAATAAGGCACGGGATATGCAACGTTTAGAGTAGATTACATGCCACGTAAAGCAGTTTTCATTAAAAAAGGCTATTGAGGACTGAGATCAGGTATTCATACGTACACTTCTCTCAGTCGATACCTGGACTCTGTCACACAGTAAGGAGTCATTCAGTTTTTGACGTTCGTTGTCTAGTGGAAGGGAACCCTGGTGTTGCAGTGGTTAAAGCGATCGGCTGCTAACCTAAAGGGCATCGGTTACCTGCCTGCGGGGGGAACGATTTGGCAGTCTGCTTCTGTAAAGATTACATCTTGAACCCACTCCGCGGTAGAAACGCCACCCCAGAGACTAGGAGAAGGTTTCCGAGAGAGGGACATGAATTATTTTGTGAAGGATGATAGAATGCTCTGTGCAAAGACGCCCCAATGCGGGTGGGGAGGCGGGCAACTGCCCAATGGGTGGGGTCAGATTGTGAAATCTACATTAGGGGTCTAAAGAAGCACCATCCGGATTTTTAAACCTCAGAAATTACTTGGTCAGATTTGTATTAGAAGTATCCCTCGGGCAACACTATGGAGACTTCTCAGTAAAGCTGGTGAGAATTGATTAGGCCAAGAACTAAGGCAGTGGCAAAAAAGACAACTTGTATATAGCAGGCAACATAAAAAACGAGAGGTAAGAAGGACCTTATAGTTTACATTTGGTAGACATACATGCCATTATCTGAGAATATATTTTGCTAGGTACAGCAAAAAGAATGTGTTTTGACAGGTGTTGATTAGGTTTGACTTTCCATAACTAATCATTTGTGTGATATTTGTCAGAACACCTTAATGTTTTGCTTTAAAATTTAAAAATTAATCAACATATTCCTATTTTTTGTCAAATGCAAAAAGAGTTTGAAGACGTTAGTTTAATAAAGAAATTTACAGTTTCATATAGCTTCTAAAGTTGTAATTATATATCCTATTGTTCATAATGGGAGGAAAATGCCGCTTTCTACTCCTGTACACATTTACAGTCTCAGAAACTCTACCCTGCTCTATAGGGTCGCCATGAGTCTGATTTGACTTGATGGCAGTGAGTTGAGTTAGCCGTGATAACCACATGATATAAAAAGACTTTGGAAAGCTGGACACTCCATAGGTATCGCATTAAACTTTTGAAATCCGTGTCTCCAACAGGAACTTTTTAGGCAATCTTGCAGGGATATAGAAAGATTATTATGGTTATATTTTGTTTTGGTAAGTAGTTGGTGTTATCTAATGGGCAATTAGAAATTTGGATTTGAAATTCAGAAGCGAGGTGGAAGCTGGATATGTTTATATAGATGGATGTAGAAACAATGGAAGTGAATAAAACTACCCAGAGAGAATATCTGAAGGGGAAAAACAGCCACTGATTTAGCACCGATAAAGGTCAGTTTGTGTGGGTGAAGTTTTTGTCTTCCATCTCTACAACATTGAAGATTTCTTGTTAGCTGCATTGTAGATCCAATAGATATCTAGCCAAAGTTGTTCCTGTCTGCTGTTTTGTGATTTTTCTGTACACTGTGACATTTTTGTTTCAAAATCGATTACTTGGCAGTCTGCTATTGCTCCACATACTTCTTTAGAGAGTAGAAGAGCAAGGATGACTTTGAGCACTGATGTGCCCCTCACTCAAGCGCTGGTGTTTCCAATGGTGTCATAGCCATGGGAAGTTAGACCATGAATAAGGAGGACTGCAGAAAAATGGATGGTAGTGAAGAATGTTGAAAGTACCATGGACTGCCACAAGAACCACCAAACCTGTCTTGGAAGAAGTCCAGCCAGTAAGCTTCTTAGAAGCAAGGGGAGTGAGACGTCTCAGATACTTTAGTCATGTTATTTGGAGAGATCAGCCCCTGGAGAAGGACATCATGCTGGGTGAAGTAGTAGGGCAATGAAAAAGAGGAATGCTGCCTGGGAGATGAACTGACACAGTGGCTCCAACGTTGGACTTGAACATGACAATTGTGAAGGTGGCACAGCACAGGACAGTGTTAAGCTTAGAGGCGCTATGAGTCACCCCACAACCAGAAGAACATATTTAATTAACATTGGATATGCTAATATATTTCTTTAACTCTTTTCATACCAGCTCTCTGAGGAGTAAATGGCAATATCTAGGTACATACAACAAGCTTTCAAAATAAATCATTGTTGCCTTATGAACATGAGTAAAGATGTTTTTATTATTTTTCTCTAAGATATGTCTCATTGCAAAGGTCATGTTTTAGATCCTTTGTTTAGTCCGTAAGTACCTGTTAACTATGAAGTAGCAATTAATGAATTAAAATATTACAACAGTTCACTACTTTGAAGAAATGGCAAGAGAACAGAGGACTTGAAGATGTAAAGACTGCCAATTCTGGTCATAAATTTTGTCATAAAGTTTGGCAAAATCGTATAACACACATCTTTGTGTGTGTGTAAGAAAGAGAAATAGACAGATTGACCTTGTTGAAATACTGTTGGCCCTATTCAGCTCATTAAGTTGATGCAAGAATCTTGGGGAATAATTAGTTTATAGGAAGAGTGATTATAAAGTATGAAAATGATTAGTAGAATCCACATCATATAAGTAACATTTTTGCCTCTAATTTTGTTAATAGGTAGTTGAATCGTGTTTTCATTAATAAATGGTTAAACCTTTGTTTTTGTCACTCATTCATATTACGTTCTATTTTTAGGTGACTGAGCATTTGAAATTGAGTGAGTCATTCAAATTTTCATGGATCCTGTATTTCCTCTTGCAGGACCCCAGATAAATGGCAGGTACAGAAATATTTTTTCAAAACATTTTTTTTCTATAGCTGCTTGTTCACATAACTTGGGAACATAGGTTGGAATAGAACAGTGGTTCTCAATCTTCCTCATGCCGCGACCCTTTAATACAGTTCCTCATGTTGTGGTGACCTCCAACCATAAAATTATTTTCGTTGCTACTTCATACCTGTAATTTTGCTACTGTTATGAATTGGGTGGCCTCTGTGAAAGGGTTGTTCGATCCCCAGAGGGGTCCCGACTCACAGGTTGAGAACCGCTGGAATAGAAAGACTATCCACTTGAATTGCAAAGAACTGGTTCAGTATCCCAGCTTTACCACTTAGATTGCTGACTTTGGTCAAATTAATGAACTTCTCTAAGCCTTAGGTTCCTTCTCTGTAAAATTAAGATAATGATTTCTCCCTCAAATTCCAAACAAACACACTGTTGCGGGTTGCTCTCAGCTCATAGGACCCTGCGTGCACTCTTCCTGAGTGGTGTACTTGGTTCACACACTCGACTGCTAACCAGAAGGTTGGGGGTGTTGTTCACCCAGAGGCCTCTAAGAAGAAAGTCCGACTGATGTGCTGTGGAAGAGTCAGCAGCTGAAAACTGAAGCCACACAGATTACTATGAGGGGTTCGCTAAGGTTACTGAAGCAAAGAGCCTACCTTTCTGTCCTGACTGGGGTCGCACAGAGGGTCTTTTTCACAGATGGAAGCCTGAGGCTAAATATCCTACACCCCGTGTCCTGTGGGAAAGCGATTGGGTTTCTTTGCTCGTGCAAACACTGTTCATTTCTTGACAAGAAGTGTTTCACAGGGGCTTCCTCTAAAGTCCCCACACTCTCCCACTCGTGGAATAGAAAAGGAGGAGCTTGCCACCTGTCTCCTGATTTTCTTACTCTGGCGTTACGATGAGGACCAAACAAGTTGCCATGTGTTACATGGCTTCTTGGATCATTTATTGTTTGTTTTTCCCTTGGGAAGAGGAATTCATGCTGCTGATATATGATTTTTTCCCCTCCTCCCTCAACTAGAATTGCATCCTTAGGGCGCCTTTCCTCCCTGTATTGTTTGTGCGTGTGCCAGATGTTCTTGATGAAGACAATGGGAAACAGGATCCAAGAGCATATCATATTTCTTTTGCTTTATTTTAGCCCCTTCTGTTCTGCCCTACCCTCCCTCTTAGATTAAAGCAATTGAGCGCTTTCTTCGAGAATGTGTCAACCTTTTTAAAGTTCTTTTAAAGATTCGGTTGTGCAGCAGGTGCTATACAGTCTTTTTATTTTGTTGCCAATATTTGTCCTTTCCCTCATTTTGAGTAAGACATGCTTTAAATTATTTCTAGTATATTCAAATCTAGCTTCTTGTACTCATTTTGAAGTCTCTTGGTTTTCTGTAATTTCTGAGTTCTGATGCCAAGCTAGAAATTTATTTTAACTGAGAGACCCTTTGGAATCCCATTCGCAAGAAAAAACTATTATACACACACCAGTTTGCCCCTGATTTCAAGGAATTTATGTCTCCCCAGCTCTAAAATCTACCTTTGTACCCCAGATTAAGAAAAAAGCTAAAAATAATTGCAGGCTAAAAGAATAACTTTTAGGAGCCCTGGTGGGTGAAGTGGTTACTAATTGGGTTACTAACCTCATGGTCAGTAGCTGTCCGCCGCTCTGTGGGAGAAATAGAAGGCTTTCTGCTCGTATAAGGCTTTACAGTCTCAGAGACCCACAGGAGCAGTTCTCACCTGCCATACAGAATTGCTGTGACTTGGAAAGCTTTATAATCCACTTCGTATGTAACAAACTGAAGTTTTCCTAACTCCATACAGCAATTATGGTATCGTAGCAGATTTGCAATGTGAATCTAGGTGTGTCTTATCAAAATGTGTGTTTTTAAGTCTGACTGGTACTTCTAAGCATGAAAGCTGCTCAAACATCCGTTAAAAATTGGAATGTGTCAAGAGGTGTCAATTGGCTCAGGTATGAGGCATCAGAAGACCCCAAACAAACAAACAGTCATCGATTTGAATGAGGGGAGGGCGGAGTGGAGACCCAAAGCCCATCTGTAGACAATTGGACATCTTCTCACAAAAGGGTCACAAGGAAGGGATGAGCCAGCCAAGGTGCAGTAGCACCGACACAAAACATGCAACTTTCCTCTAGTCTGTCCCTCACCCCCTTTTTTCTTAAATCATTTTATTAGGGGCTCATACAACTCTTATCGCAATCCATACATACATCAATTGTGTAAAGCACATTTGTACATTCATTGCTCTCATCATTCTCAAAACATTTCCTCTCCACTTAAGCCCCCGGCATT